TGAAAAGAATCATGGCCTCACCTAGTCCCCAAGTGAGGTATTTCCAACTCCTTGCAAGAGACTCCTGAAAACTGTGTTTTCTCCTCAGCATCTGGTCCTAAGTGGATAGAGGACCTCAGAGCTACTGGAGTCTTCTGCTTGTGGCTTGGTACCCCACCCCCAGTGGCAAAGCACTGGGAAAAGAGTGTGGTGATAATGTAGTTTTTTTCAGACTAGCAGAACACAAAGAGTTTTTGAGTTGCTATAGGCAGTACTTTTTTTCTAATATGTGTACACAGTCATTTTCTTTTTTTTTTTTTTTTTTTTTTTAACTTTTAGAGAACTGCCAGACAAGCCAAGGAAAGAAGCCAGGCGAGAAGACACTCTCTAGCATCAAAACACGGCTCAGACATCACACGATTTTTGGTAAAGAAATGAAGTTAAAATTTTTTTGAATGGATGACAGTTTATATGTGGAGAATTCAACAGATTTTTTTCCTGTTTAATATTTTAAGAGTGAAAATCAAGCATTCACCTTCCCTTTTCATGTTCAATACCTTTTGAAAGTACTTCCCAGAAACTGAGATACAGTTCTCAATGTTTCTGTGATCTTCTTGACTTCATGGAGATTGTCAGTGATGTTGCGGTAAGGTTTTGTTACGCTTTCATTCCCCCGACTATACTTTCATCATGGTATTACGCATAGATTTTTTAAAATATGCTCTCGATTACTTGAAAAACACTGCTGGATTAGTACTGGTTCTGAACTGCGGTGTTTCTAAATGGAACATTGTAAAACCAAAAGAGAAATTCTGGAGGCAAATCATTATTCGGGAATTCTGGCCAGGCGTGACCTGCCTGTTTAGTATGCAAGAAAGACGTACTCACCAAATGCTTCCAAGGTGGGCTTGAGGTGCACATTTTGAGTGTTGTCTTCTTTGTTTTATTTCTTAGTCAGTTGTCTTTACTGAAAAGATGCTTTTGAAAATAAGCTAATTGGACCTATGGTGTTTGGACAATTCAGGGGTTCTGGCTAAAGTAACTATTAAAAATATTTAAACTGCACATAAAATGTAAGATGCCACTTAAACTTCATTTTTTAGTGAGTTTGTTTTGATGCATAAAAGTAGGCTTATTGTCAAAGCACCCTTTCTCTCCTGGTTATCATTTTGTTTTTAAAATCCTATTTTATTAAAAGTGTACCTCTTTTAAAAGGAATGATAATGATAAAACACTTAAAGCATGATCAGATGGAGACAAGTTTTTAAGAAGTACAAGGGTACTATTAAAATGCAACTGATGTTCAAAAATAAGAGTGATGCTGAAACAAAACTAAGGCATAATCCTGCAGTATGTCAGTCATGAGGTCACAGAGTCAGCTACATGAAATCCAGGACCAAGCAAGAACTACTTTACAAAAGGCCTGTTGTTAAATACTGTTTGGATATAAACCTCATTAGTTTGAGCACTCTGTAACTTTAATTAGTAGCTGGTATTTTACAATGTAGAGGGCTTATTATAAATTTTATACCATCATAAATCTTTTCAGAGTTTTTATTGTGTTTATAATATTTCATTGTATGAGATCAAATAGTATTATTTTATAAATTAGTCGGGCTTTCTTTGGCCTCCTTTCTGCTCTGCTAATCAGGCTCTTTGCAGTTTTCTGCCTCATTGCCAGGGTAACCTAGGATTCCGCACGGTTGAGAGCTGAGAAGCCAGCACGCTACTTTTCCTCTGGCATGAGGTGTCTGTAAGTGAGACTTTGGTCTAAGTAGGTCAAATTTGAATGGTGCTTGCTCTATAGATCAAACTAAAGTGGAAATACTAGGGAGAAAGTTCTCAGATGTAGGAACTGCATGATGGTTTGAGGTGAAATGACCCATGAAGATGGTTTCTCTCCTTGACGGATTTCAAAATTCCAATCAATTAAAAATGCTGTAAGAGCATCAAGAAGAATAAAATGGTTAGGAATATATTTAACCAAGGAGGTGAAATATTTCTACACTGAAACTTGCAGTCTTTCATAAAAGAAATTAAAAAAAAAAAACAATCAAATGGAAAGAATTCCACATTCATGGGTCAAAAAGCTTAATATTGTTAAAATGTCCATGCTACCCAAAGCTTTGTACAGACTCAGGGTAATCCCTATCAAAATTCCAATGGCATTTTTTCACAGAAATTTAAAAATACACCCTGAAGTTTGCACGGAACCACAGAAGATCCCAAATAGCCAAAGCAAACTTCAGAAAGAAGAACAAAGCTAACAGCATCATGCTCCCTGATTCCAAACTATATTACAAAGTGTGGTAACCAAAGCATTGGCATAAACACCCAGAGATCAGTGGGACAAAATCACGCACCCAGAGATCAGCCCATGTATGTATTCAACTGATTTTCAACAAACAAACCAAGAATATACAGTGGGGAAAGGACAGCCTCTTCAATAAAGGATGTTAAGGAAACTGAACAGCCACATACAAAAGAATGAAACTGGACCCCTGTTTTAAACCATACAGACAAAACAACTCAAAATGGATTAAGGACTTAAACATTAGACCTGAAATCATAAAACTCCTAGTAGAAAACATTGGGAGTAAGCTCCTTAACATCAATCTTGGCTTGGATTATTTGGATTTGACACCAAACTTTTGTTATACAGGCAACAAAAGCATAAACAAACAAGTGGGGCTATATCAAACTAAAAACCTTCTGCCCAGTAGGGGAGACCAACAGAATGAAGACAGCCACAGAATGGGAGAAAATATTTGCAAACCACATATCCATTAAGAGGTTAATATCCAAATTATATAAGGAACTCATACAACTCAACAGCAAAAAAACACAAATAATCCAATTATAGGCAAAGCACCTGAATAGACATTTTTCCAAAGAAGGCATACAGATGGCCAACAGGTACATGAAAAAGTGCTCAACATCACTAATCATCAGGGAAATGCAAATCAAACCATGTGAAATATCTATCACCTCACACCTGTTAAGATGACTATTATCAAAAAGACAAGAGATAACAAATACTGGTGAGGATTGGGAGAAAAAGGAACCCTTGTGCACTGTTGATAGGAATGTAAATTGGTACAGCTACTATGGAAAACAGTATGGTGGTTCCTCAAGAAATTAAAGAACCACCAGCAGTCCCACTGGTCTATGTCTAAAGGAAATGAAACCATTATCTTCAAGAGGTATCTTGTACTGCCTCCTTCATTCATTGCAACATTATTCACAATAGCCAAGGTATGAAAACAGTGTAACCGTCATCAACAGATGAATGCATAAAGAAAATGTAGTAGATGTATACAACAGAATATTACTCAGCTTTGCAAAAGAAGGAAATCCTCCCATTTGCAACAACATGAACCTGGAAGGCATTATGCTAAGTGAAATAACCCAGAGGAAGAAGGACCAATGTAGCATGATGTCACTTACATTCATGAAATCCTTAAAAAAAAAAATTCAAACTTACAGAAACAGAATGTAGAAAAGTGGTTACCAGGGACTGAGACGTAGGGAGAGTTTGATGAAAGGATAGAAACTTTGTTAGATGATGAATACAGAGCTCAGTGGTAGAGTATGTGCTTAACATGCACAAGGTCCTGGGTACCTCCATTTAAATACATAAATAAATCTAATTACCTCCCCTCTCCCCCCAAAAAAGAGATGAATAAAATCTGAGGATGTTGATCACACTGTGCTGTATAACAGAAATTGCTAAAAGGATAGAACTTTTATGTTCTCTTCAAAAAAGAAAAATGTGTATGTGAGAGTATGGATGTGTTCATTACCTAGATGGTGGTCATCTCTTCACAGGTGTATGTGTATCAAATTATCATGTTGTATACTTTATGTATCTTACAATTTTATTTGTCCATCATACCTCAGTACTGCTGGAGGAAAAAGATGCTGTAAGGACCAATGAGCATTTGCCACACAGGACGAGTGGCCCATCCCCACCCTTCCTGCCATGTCTCAAAGCTTTGGGTCCTGCCTTCCCCTAATCTGATCTACTTTCCAAACTGTCCATGTCCAGTGCCAGGCTGTTCTTCCTTTCTGTTCACCGTCACTGAGTGACATCGACCTCCAGACACTCTCTGATGACGGATAGTCACTTTTAGTGGCCCCAGAGCCATGGACAAGATCTCACTGTCAGCATTAATCACAGCCCAATGTACATTTCTTGGAGAGATTTTCCTGTGACAAATGAATACCTTTCTACATTCTCTTAGCTATTGATGGGAAAAGGATTTTTTGCCTACATGCCTTACTAATAAATCTTCAGATCCTTGAGTGAAACCTTTAAAATATAGTTTCTTAAGAAATAGAAGTATGAAGCACTTTAAATTATTATGTCTAAGAATTCAACATTCTTGAACCCTTCAGAATAAAATGGAAAAAAATTGCATTTACTTACAGGATGCAAAATCATGGATATCACACATCAAAAATAGGTTGTTGAAGTATCTCTTTTTCTTACTACTGCATATTCTTAACATTTTAGTTGCATATTATTACCCTCTCATTTCACATTTCATTCTTTCAACTGTGAGCTCCTAGTCACTGCACAAGTCTATTTGAATATTCATCCACCAGAAAAACGTCCTATCTCCTCTCAACTTTGTCAGTTGTTTTATGTTGTTACAGGGGTTCTGCCGCCCTGGTTGTGTTCACATTTGCTACTGGAAACAGCACCAGTGTGGAAATGCATTCTGCCTTCCGACGACTGCCTCTGTGCTTCAACAACTTCTCTCCAGGCTCTTTAAAATTACTGTGTAGCTCTGTCTCATTAGTAGCTACTAGCTTTTTTGTTGTTGTTGTTAGAAACTGACATATGAAACACCTTAAAAATGTTAATTATTCTGCATATCCTGAAGTATTCATATTTCAGTCTCTTTGCTCTTAGACACCTGCCTTCCCTACAACCAGAGTTCACCAGTGTATCACGGAAACCCCAAACATCTGTATCTGTGTGACAGCTAGGGTCCGTTTAAGAAAGATCCCAGACAGCCAGAAGCAGCGGCTGGGGTAGCCAGCAGCAGTGAGCGTGGAGACCAGCTGACGTCCATAGCGCCCCCTGGGGAGATAGAGGCGGGCAGTGGGGTCTGCATGGCAGTTGAGTACTATGAGCCCTGCGGCTCCGAGGTGACCTACCTGGAGGTGGCGAGTGCTGTGAAGGAGCAGTATCCTGGCATGGAGATGGTGTCACGACTCAGCAGCACAGGGGCCTTGGAAATCAATGGACATCTGGCATTCTTCAAGCTGGAGAATGGCTTTCCTAATGAGAAAGATCTGAGTACCTGCAATGCTGGGAAGACCCCTGGTTCACTCTGCCCCTACAATGAATGCATCATCCCCTTTCCCATCTCTGCGCTTTAGCTGATTAAGTCCAGCAATGAGCCAGTGATGGTGAACCCCTAGGAAAGATCACCAATAGCAGCCCTCCCTGCGTCATCCTGTGACGACACTGATTCTGGATTTCTGCTCTCTTCTGGTCGCCCCTTTGCTCCTGCTGAGGGCTCCCCACGGCAGGTTTTGCCTCATTTACCTCCAGGTAGCTCAGAGACCCTAGTTTCCACTTCACCTCTTTGGGTACTAGAGGGAATACATGCTCCTGTGGTCTTGGGGGGGTGGAAGAGAGACCCTCTCCATGGACATTTACACAGCCACCTGATACTCTTTTCCCAGGATTAGTGCCCACAAAAGTCTGCTGCCCTCTCCACACACACACACAATCCCAGCATAGTTTTGACTTAACTTACAAAATGAGCTACAAAACTTACCAACTCAGGTCTGGCTGCTTGCTGCTCAAGAAGCAGTACCAAAGGGACAAGTATTAATAGGAAGAAAAGTTGCTTTTAATCATAAAGCTGGCAATCTGGGGAGAAGGCAGAATCACGTTCCTCAAAAACCAACTTCAAAAATTATTTTAAAGAAAAAAGGGGAGGTAATCTCAGTTAACCACTGAGGTGAGGGAGCATACTTGAAGCTGTCTTCCACCACATGCCCTCGTGTGGACTCGTGACCTTTCTGTAGGTGCTGTCTTGTTCACAGCCTGTTTGCAAGATGACTGAGGGGAGGCTAGGGAAGAGACCTGGTCATCTGTTAATTGCTTATTCTCCATTTTTGCGTCT